TCTGCGTATGGCAGTTGCTTTTTAAGGAAAAAAGGTATAACTTCTGGGATACTACTAGTTTTCAGCGAGTCAGGGAAGTCAGAGATTAATAGATCACAGTATTCAATATTCACATTCAACTCTGTAAATAGAAAGAGCCTCATTTTTTAGAATCATTATACAAAAAGTGGTGACAGGATTTGTATACAGCCTGGGATAAGAGAGTGTGAGGAGTCTAAGGGTATGTCTACACCCAGCCGCTAGTTCGGCGACTGGGAATCGAAGTTCTGGGTTCGACTTATCGCGTCTTGTCTGGATGCGATAAGTCGAACCAGGAAGTGGTCGCCATCGACTGCGGTACTCCAGCTAGACGAGAGGAGTACCGCGGCGTCGACGGGGGAGCCTGCCTGCCGCGTGTGGACCGAGGTAAGTTCGAACTAAGGTACTTCGAACTTCAGCTACGTTATTCACGTAGCTGAAGTTGCCTACTTTAGTTCGAATTGGGGGGTAAGTGTAGACCAAGCCTGAGATAATCCCAAGGTATTGGGCCTGAGTAGCAAAGTAGATCTTGTTATTGTCAACAGTGACCAAGAATTGGGGGAAGTAGGAAGGGGTTGAGAGGATGCATCATCAGAAGTTCACTTTTAGCCATGTATGTTTGATTTGACAATGAGTAATGCAGGAGATGTCAGAAAGACAGTCCTCAGCCTGGACTGGACGGCAGGAGAAAGGGCTGTAGTAGCCAGGTAGATTTGTGAGTCATCAATAGAAGGATGGATATTGTGTAAAGGTAGAAAAGGAGGTGACAAGGCTGGGCTTTGTTCCATTCCCACATGGAGTGGGAGAGGAAAAGAGGAGGGCCCACCAAAAGAGATGTTGAAGGAGAACCAGAGTAAGATGCGGTCATGAAAGCAAGATGTTAAGAAGTAGGATATGATTGGCAGAAGCAGCAGACAGGTCAAGAGGGATTAGAATGGAGGAGAGGCCCAGGCATTTGGCCAGCATGAGTTTATTAGAGATATTAGTGAGGGCAGTTTCAATGGAGAGGAGAAAACAGAAACCAGATTGCCAGGGATCCAGGAGAGAGTTATAGGCAGGGCTGGCGCTTCCACTAGGTGACCCTAGGCGGTCACCTACGGTGGCAGGTTTTCGGGGGCGGCATTTTGCCGTCCTCGTCAGAAATTCGGCGGCGGGGGGTCCTTCCGCTCCGGGTCTTCGGCGGAAATTTGGCGGCGGGTCCTTCACTCGCTCCGGGACCCGCCGCCGAAGTGCCCCAAAGACGCGGAGCGGAAGGACCCCTGCCGCCGAATGCTCAGAGGAGGAGCACTGCCGCCTAAGGCGGCAAAAACCCTGGCGCCGCTCCTGGTTATAGGAAGGGCTATACGTGGCCCATTCAATGATTTTGCGGGTGAAGTGAGAGAGAGACCACTAACTGGAGAGGCACGTGGCATTAGACCCATTTGAGAAACAAAATTTTCATCCTGTGCGGAATTTAGTTTCCATTCTGAATTGGAATGAAAAGTCAAAAGATGAAACCATTTCAGGGAACAAAAAATTCTGAAAAGTTTAGAACTGCAAATGCTAACATGAATTTTTGAGCAAAAGGAAAAGAATAAAAATTTCAAAATAGCATTTTTGTTTTGTTTTTCAAAACCAGAAAATCAAAAAAATTAATCAAAATATACATTTTTCCCTGGAAGATTTTGATGTCAACAAAATCATATTTTCTGGCAGGAATTTTTTAGCTCTGTGTGGCATCAAGGTATTACATTTTGGATGGGCTATACCAGAGCATGCCTATATTGTAAGGAAAAATAGATGCTCAGGAAGAAATCAAAGAGGCCATGATGGATTAGAGGAGGAGACCATATGAAAAATCTCAGTGGTGGTGGTGGTGGGAAATGATGATTACAGCTACTGAACATGTCATGCTTGGCTTTGCAGAAGTCAGCCAGATCCTGTAGGGAGAGGAAGAGGTAGGGTTTCAAGAGGGAGGCCATGGAGTGTAATTCAACGAGGGTGGCAAAGTACGGTTCCCTGGCAAATTACATAATACAGCTGAAGGAAGAGAGAGTAAATTTGTGCCAATAGTGGAGGAAATCCAAAGGACTTCCTCCGGAGCTGTTTGACAGCAAAGGGGCAGGAATGGAGGAAGCAGATGCTGAGGGTCAGCCAGGCAAGAGGTTAATGGGATGGATTACACAGTGTCAACAATATTTTTTAATGTGTTTTTAGTTACATATCAAGGCTGGACAGTGATACTTCACAAGCAGCCCATTGACTTCAGTGGAACTACTCATGGTGCAAGGTATTGCTAAATATGAGTACTGGTATCACAGTCTAACCCTAATATAGTTACAAATACCCTATGGTTAAAAATACCAAAGAAGATACCACAAAAACCTGATTGTCATCGCATTAAAAGCCTGACTCTATATAAAAATCACAATGACATTCAGGAGTAAGTTTCCAGACTGACTCTTAGATTTACCTAAACACCTCTCATATAGCAGTTACATCTTTTTTTCTTTATTGGTACCAATTTCTAGGGGACTATGGACATCTTAATAATACCCAAATGTTTACCAAAATTTCCATGAACTGCTCTGAATACTCATTTTGTGTGAGATAAGTGTCATTTTGACCTATTCCTGCTCCACTGGAGTCAGTGGAGCTGTGGATGCTCGACACCTCTGAAAATCAGGCCACTTCAGATCCATAATTTATATCCACTAAATACTGTATGAATTTAGATTCTTAACTTAAGGCACCCAAGTTTTTAAAAAGTTCACCTTTCTCTTTGCTATACCCACTTACGATTAGATATTGCCTATATATGTGCAAGATGACCCTCTGTCAATATCTAAGCAGAACTGAATGAGTTAAGGCTAAAATATTCTTGACTATGAATTTCATTACTTTGTGATTATCAGTTACTGATTTCATTTAAGTTCATCATCTATTACAAGTAACTACTCAAAGTCCTTTACATTGGTTAACAAAATAATGATTTTCTCTGCTAAGAATCTTGTGGTTTTCTAAGCAGGAAACCTACTAAAATAAATCAGAGGCAGCTCATTGTGGCTAAAGGACTGGAACAAGCAGGCAAGACTGGAATGAGACTAGCATTGGCTTCTTCCTTAGCTTTGAATCTGTTCTTGCTTAAGTTGATTCCTGTTCATTTTCCACTTACTAAATTCATGCATATAGGTTTTCAATATGTAACATTGTTCTGAAAAAAGGCTAATTCTTTATACTAAACCAATGAACCTCTGAGTGTGTATTCAGCATTTCTATATAAACTCCTGGGGGAATTCTGTGCTACTGCGCATGCACATAATTAATGAGCTGCACATATTTTTAATTTTTTGCTCAGAAAAAAGCTTCTGCTGAAATGTTGCTGCAGTTCCACATTTTGCCCCCCAGAGGGCAATGTGGTGATAGAACACAGCATCTGCTCCAAGCCAGCTAGGAAAGAGAAAGAGCATGCCTTCTTCGCAGCACCTGTCGGGCCAGGTCAGAAGACAGGGGCTATGGGGAGACAGACAGTGTGGGGCTGCTGGGGTTTCAGACGGGCTCGTAAGGACTAGTGGGAGAGGACAGACTGGGGCAGGGGCTGAATGGGAGTGGAGGCACAGGGCGGAGAGAGGTGCAGGGCCACATGGTGATGGGGGAGGGAGTGCAGAGCTACATAAGGAAAGGGGAGTGGCTGAGTGCGGGAACAGAGACATGGGGACAAGAGAGGGGGTACAGAGCCACATGGAGACGGGGAGGGGTGCAGGGCCACATGGGGATGGGGCGGAGTGGGTGTCTGAGTGGGGCGAAGGGACATGTGGACAGGGGGTGCAAGGACACATGGGGAAAGGGGCAGATGTGCCTGACTGAATGGGAGAGGCTAGGGATCAGCTAGGATCTGCATGGGGGAAGCTCCCTAACAACCCCTCCCCGCCTCCCCAAAAAAACCTGTTCCATAGTTTCCCCACCCATATCCAACAACCCTCCAAGTTCACACCCAGGCTCCTTCCCAGCAATCTACTTCCCTCTCCCTCAGCATCTCCATTACCCCTGATTTCCTCCAAGCCTTTGCACTGCTTCTGATGGGTGCGGGAAATAGTTACATATTGTAGTTTAAATGAATTACTCAGAGTTCTATATTAATATGCCTAGTAAGGAATCTATTTGGCAAAAAAAATTCCTGAATTTTTTGTTGTTGTCTGTATTGTTACAGACATACTTGCTGACAAGTGTTTTGAAATAAATGACCAAAAATAATTAAAACCGGTGTGATTATATTGTTATTTTGACAAATAAAATTTGCAGAATTTTAAAATATGCACAGAATTTTTTATTTTTTGTTGCCGAATTCCCCCAGGAGTATATGTTGTACCAATATATTTGCCTAGCAGGGCTCTTTCTGATTTAGGCACAAGCCCTGCAGCCCCACTACATATATCATGCAAGACCATATGTAGAGGACAGGCAGCATAAATCCCAAATGAGGGGACCCCAATTCCCTTACATACTCTTCTCTGTGTTGGAAAGCAGTTGCCGTTTAGTTCCATTTATAGCACTAATGCACAGTGCTGAAATCCCATCCCTAGTGGTGGTCAGGGGAGGAGAGGCACAGCAAACTGTGGCTGTCTGCTAGTTTACAGATCCTGGCTTAGAGAGCCTACACCAGCTGCACCGATCTAGGTCAGGTGGGGCTGACGATTCCATCACTTGACCCTACAGATCTGTTCGTGTGAAGTAAAGCCATTTCCTGAGGACTAGACTCCTTTGTTCAGGATGGCCCTCGGGATGGAAAGTTCACCTTTTTCCATAAGGCTATAAGAATCTTGGCAGTTAAATCTTTCTCTTAGATTGTGTCATCTTTTCCTTCAGTGGTAAGCCCCAAACCAGAATTAAAGGAAATGAATGCAAATATTACCTTAGTAAAAAGGGAACTGTGGCCCATTTATACGCATGAATATTATGCCTGTGAAATAATCTAGTCTGTCCTTTCTGCTACTGTTTTCTAGGTTCACACGTTCAGGGGTCCACACTGGTGTGAATACTGTGCCAACTTTATGTGGGGCCTCATTGCTCAGGGAGTAAAATGTGCAGGTAACTGGTTTATTCTTTGCTTCTTAAGACAATCCTGATGCTGTAAAGCCTTAGACATACTATCTATTTCATAATAAATTGTGCACCTAGGGTCTGATCCTCCTGTTAAAATCACTGGAAAGATGCCCTTTCATTTCAGTGATAGTTGTATCAGGTGCTACTATCGACCATTGAACCTTACATCTAAATGCCTTCCAAACATTCAGAGATGGAAATAATCTCTCTTTCCTTTCTTTCAGTATGTAGGAGACATAGCTTGAATGAGTTGTTGTATTTATTTTGTAATGGATGAGTCTGTGTGTGGGGTGGGTGGGTATGAGAAACTTACTGGGGATTTTAATGAAGCTTGTAGACAATAATCAAATCTCACAACACCTGTGTGAGGTAAATATTTAGATTTATTTTACAGATGGATAAACCGAGTCAGAGCAGTAAAGTGCCAGAGTTAGAAAGGGAGCTGGGTATAGAACCCAGGAGTCCTGACTCTGTCTTATGTGTGTGTGTGCTCTAACCACTACACACACATGCTCTCTAATTTGAAAAAATAAATTAATGGATTGAGAAGAATTGACATAAACATGATTAAAATAGGTGTATACATAAATTTATAAAAGCACTCAGAGGCTATGTTATAAATGCCTGGACAGACAGATACTGCATGCATTTGGGATTTAGTCTTTCTGTTGTAGCTGAAGAACTTAGGTAAAATAATTCAGCAATATTATTGATATCCTCTGAAAAAGGAGAGAAACCAACTATTTTGTTTAGGAGATCAAAGTAATTGAAAAAACAAGTTACTTTGTTTAAAATGTGCCTTACAATTTTCCAGTAACTAATTTTATAAAAATAGTATAAAGAAATGTTGATGTATGAAGAGCTGCATTTGTTGCCCTGGAAACTGAATTTTCATGCTAATTTAAGAATTTTTCCCTGTCTAAAGCTTTCTGAAATCTTGTCTTAAGCAAATAATAGGATTTTTATAGCATCAATGCAAAATGGTAGAAATTTCAACATAAACAAATGTGTTTATAGAAAAGCTATGACTGAAAAATCTTGAAAATATTCCACAAGAAATGTTTGATGTGTAATGTTTTTTATTGTATTATTGATGCAGATTTTTTTGTCAGCAGAGTCTAGTGTCCATAAAGTTTTAGCTTATTAGTTTTAGAAATAACTGAAACAAATGAAAGAACATTCATGTGCAGTTATATTCTGTGAAAATGGCACTTCCTTGCTCAGTAGTCCTACCCCATGTTTATTCAGAGTTCTAGCTACATGCTGTACTCATTAAATTAATGTTTTACCACATTTTGCTTTTGTTAAATCTGCACAGCCAATGCAGATCTGGGAAAGGGAGCTTGATTTTATTCTGCTTCATGCATCAGCAACAGAGATGTCAGCTAAATTTTCAGAGTAGACACTTTATAGTTGATGATACATGAGCCAGAAAATACACAGCTCTCTGTTTTTGATCTCATGTTGAATTTGCAACGCTGGCAGTTAGGAAAAATAACAGGCTTTTTAGTTTACATTAAGTAGCTTTGATCTGGAAGTTCAATAAAGACAATAAATATGAAAGTCTACAGTGTCACTTTTCAGAGTAGTTGCACGCTTTTGTGGAATGAGCAAAAAAGATCAGTTTTATAATTAAACTGACTACTTTTCTTTTTACTATTTTTATTTATAACTATTCTAGATAACACTGTTTTCTTATTTTATATTTTAATGCAGATTTTTTTCCAAAAGATCCTAATGGTTTCCTTTTCTTAGCTTGTATTATGGAAGTGAGAATTAACTAGTGCTTTCTCTTTTTCTCTCTTTGGCTCTGTACAAAGGTGATTATAATAAGAAAGGAACAAAAAAGGAAAAAATGTAAACTAGATGGCTTTAGAATTTCAAACATAATTGAACTTTTCTGTTTGTCTAAAGTTGTCATACCCATGTCAATAACACCCAATGAATACAGCAATTTTTTTTTATTTTTAATTCCATTTCATGCTACCAATAAAGTGTACTACAGGATAAAGCCCACTAAGAGATTACTATACTTCTTGAATGCTCAAGGCCACTTAGCCTGTGATCATAATCTTTATGATGGCTGTCATACCTTATCTGAGGAATGACAGGATGTGCGGTGGTAAGATACTCACAGGTTTCACATAACTCTCCTTGCTCTCTCAACCCCCTGACAAGTCACTTGTACTCAGCCCCTGGTGGATGGAGGAGAGAAAGTGCCACGTGTTAATAAACAGCAAACCCTCTCACCAGGACAAATGAGTTCTGAATGGACGCCAAATTCTGTCATTTTCAGCAAAATGGATGGTGGCCAGGAAATGGACCCTCAAAAACAGAGGTGTTATGTGGAGGAAATGGGAACCATTAAGGGCTCCGGCAGTGATGTTGAATGTGTCTGGTGGATGGGTAGGGAAAGATTACTTAACATTCCATGAAAAAGTTCAATTCAGTAAATGTGGTTCTCCTCTGAAAAGTGGCTGTGTAAAAAATGTCACCTTCTAAACTCAGCAGATCTGCTCCCCATGTGTGTTCAAAGTTGCATCTTGCATACTGTATGAAGAAAAATAACTTGTACTGCTTTTTAATCCTGTTTCACTCTCCTGAGCCAACACATCTAAGTGTGAGTGAACTGGATTCTATTCCTTTTTGTGCATCATCAAAAGATTGTTTACTTCTTCCAGTGAGCTAGAACTGTGCAATTGAGAGGCTGGTGTAACTGAAGGCATAAATGAAAGAAAGTGTGGGTACAATAGGTGTAAACGGGGGTTTAATTTTCCCTGTGAAATTGTTTGTTTTTCTAAACTGAACACCTTTGATATGGAAATCGAGAGACAATAAACGGTGAACCCCAAGACACCCGTCACTTTTCCGAGTAGAAGTCCACATTAAAAATTACAGGATTGAGCAGGATGCAGCCTGCTAACATTCAAACTGGTCTCTGTATCACTCCGGGAAACTCCAGAAAGTCTGACTTGTGATCTGTGTGATGATTTTATTGAAAATGCTTTAGGAACAAAACTGTGCTGATTATAATATTCTGTACTTTTTACTGAGTTTGCTTTTTTAAAGCAAACAATTACAGATCATAAGATGAATCTATTAGTTGTACAAAAGCGATACTTATTACAGCTGTAAATTAATACTGCAGGGAACACTCAATCATTTTGAGTCCTGCTCTTAGCAAGATACATAGGAATAAAAATGCAGGGCATTCCTGGATTCCCTTTATAAGGATAAAAGTCACCCATTTCAGAAAGTAGGAGGAGGAATGGAAAGAAAAAGTAACGTAAGGAGATTGTTGCCATTGGCATATAGATTAATTTATGGCATAAGAGCACAAGTAATACTTTAAAAAAATAAACTAGAATCAGGATAGACCCAACAATACATATTATGCCATACCAGCTAGCTAGTATGTCATAGCAACTAAAACTGTACTTATTCATTCCTTATTACAACTCAGCATCTCCAGCCAGAACAGAGCCTGGGTAACTTCTATGTTCTATGCCCCATATACAGTATAATTATCTCTCCAAGGCAGTTTGTCCCTACCCCTTGTGTTGATTGGCAGGGAAAGAAGAGTGATTATAGACATCCTCCTGCATGAGGTCCAGGGATAATCACAGTGTCAGTACCTCTCTGCTGAGATTGCCAAATAGGGAAGGTGGTGGTGCCGGTGGTTTTTGTGACGTAAACAATGGTTCTGTAGGAACTTGTCTCACATAGACCAAAAAACCTGTGAGAGAGAATTGTGAAGAGCAGGTGGCTGCCATTTTGACTGATAAGGTTTCATGATTAATCTGTTGCTCCTCTGCACTTCTTGAAACAAGATGATTTTTTTATTTCCAAAGTTAAGACTCAGTTTTGTCCAGTTAAGCCTCCATTCCTCCACCAACTCAGAACTGTGCCTTAAAGATACAGTCAAGCCCCTCTTCTTTCTCCGTCTACTTTCCCCTGGGTGCACAAGCAACTTCTGTCTGTCTTTGTTTTGTTTTTTCCTCTCTACCTCCCCTCTCCCACGACTCTATAATACATTTTCCCCTCTCCCACGACTCTATAATACATTTCCCCCTCTCCCACGACCCTATAATACATGAAATCAAGGGTAGATTCATCTTGCAGCACACTGCATTTGCTCCTGCACTGTACACTTAACATTTAAGAGCACAGGCTATCAGCATTAAAGGACAGCATGAGGAAGGAACATGAGCAAAGAAAGACTCATGCAGATACCATTTGTGATCTGAAGCCATCACGGGTGGGAGGTGGTTTTCTGGCAGAATAGACAGTCTACTCATTACCAGAGAACCATGGAGTAGGGAAGGCAGTTTGGGAGCATATCATGTATGCTTGAGACCTGTTTTTGTCCTCGTGCCACTTAGAAGAGCAGCCCAGATCAGTAGTTGCACTAAGGCTCCTGTCAGATCAATACAGTATGTCAACAAATGGTGTTTGTTATGGGTATCATAGCATTTACAAGTAATGCTAGTTGTCAATGCTCGTAAAACTAAAGAACAGTAAATGATTATGTGCACTGCAGAGAGAGTAAACTTTAATTTTTATATTAAAGAAAAGAGAATTTAACTACCATAAAAGGAAAGCTACTATTTGATGAATGATTTATTGGGGCAAATTCCTTTATATCTGTTCACCCTCATTAAAGCAATACTAATAGTTAGCTCTTATGTAGCACTCATCACCTGCAGATCTCAAAGTGCTTTACAAAGGTGGGTAGTGGTTTTATCCCCTTGTGTCAAATGGGGAAACTGAGGAACAAGTCTTAAGTGACTTGCCCAAGGTGATACAGTGATTTAATGCCAGGCCCAAGAATAGAACCCAGGCCTCCTGCCTCTTTCCCACACCACTCTGCCGTTATCATAAATCTATGGAGAATCTCTTGGAACTCTTAGAGGAAAATGTAAATCTATCTTTCAGTACCTTAAACCGTCCCCTCAGAAAGACAAAATACATAAATGTCTTTCAGC